CTAGTTTTAGAGATTGCCATTACAAATCTTGAGGACCAGTACAAATGTAAAAGTTTGAATTTCTTATTGCTCATGGTAGTTGTTTTATTGCATAGCCCAATAGTGTGTTTTGGGGGAATATCAGGGTTGCAACTAGAAACCTCAGGGCCTGAGTGCAAGAATCTGTTAAGCCGCCCCCCCCCACCCCACTATAGAACAGATGTGGCCAAAAGGTAGAGCCTCAGCTTCCATACAAATCCCATGATTTTTTTGCTAGTAGATTTACCCATTGTTGCAGGGTTCTATTTTTATGCAGTATATGTGTGTGAATGTTTCTGTATCATGCTAATATTTTAATGTAGGGGGTCTGTTTGTGTGTAGTGTTGGCATTTAAATGCTTGTGTGTAGTGTTGGTGTTTAAATACAATTTTTGTTATGTAGTGCTAGTGTATTAATGCAGGGATGTCTTTAGTGTTGGCATACAAATTCAGGGGTGTGTTTGTGTGTAGTGTTGGCATTTGAATGCAGGACTGTTTTTGTACGGTTTTGGCATTTGAATGCAGGGGTCTGTTTGTGGGTAATATTGGTTATTGCATGCAAATATGTATTCCCAAATACAAATGTAGACATACACACACACACACACAGGGGCACATTTCCATATACAGAAAAACACATACACGAGCACACAGAGATGCCCACAGACACATATACACACTCTGAGAGCTTCACACAGATTGACACATATGCACAGTTATATTGACACATACTGACACACACAAACACTGACACACACAAACAAACACACCTTCACAGATGTATAAACTGATACACAAACACACATTTGTGGATGTATACACTGACACACACATAGACTGACATACATAAACACTGACACAGATGCATACAGTGACACACATACATAAATACATACACTGGCACACACAAACACTGACACATATGCACAGATAAATACACTGACAAGTAATAGCAGTATCTGGAATGTGAGGAAACCTTGTAACAAAATATCCAAGTGGCAGCTTGTAACAAAAGTCTTTATTAAATAAAACCATAACTAAACCTTTTTACAAAGTTTCCTCACATTCCAGATACTGCTACGATTTGGTTTATGAACATGCAATGAAGTGCTTTGAATGCAACAGAGTGCAGTGTTTTTTTAAATTCCTTTTTTTTCTGCATATTTTGTTTATCAACATACACAAACACAGGGGCTATATCTACTAAATAGTGATTTAAAAAAATGCATATATGGCAATCACAAACCACAGTCCACACAAATGTAAAAAAATTCAGATTTGCAAAAACACACAAATACTCTTTATTGGGAGAAGTATATAACAATAGTGAAACAGAAGTTCAGTGAAAGTGATATATTTTTTTTAACAGATATGATAAACGGCTCCGTGGTACAATATTAATTACCGTAATATTAATTTACACAAGGCTTGTGAGTGTAAAATGTTCTGTATAATGGACAAAAATATGCTTATACAATAGAACTATATTGAAAGTGACAATTTTTCAGAAAAAATGATAAGCAGCCGTCTGTATAAAATTATTACATGTAAGCTTTATAAATATTGCAAACTCAACAGAAAAAGAGAGAGAACCGAGAAAACACCAGAAGGTGGCAAAATGTGTGTGAAGCTCACTTAAGCTGCTTTTAAGATTTTTACTATGTGGCTCGTAGGATGTAAAGTCAGCCTGGTCAGATACTGATAGGTACATGATCTCATACTTGCTTGAGAATGATAATATTTATAAAGTCAAAATACTAAGTACACATTGAGCCACTGAGAGCAACATTAGCTGAAGCCTACATGGGAGGGTAACCATGACTGTCTGTATAGTGCCTGTCTTTTCTTTTGTATTCTTTTTTTTCATCTTCTAAGTGCCTACATTTCCTTGGTGCATTTAATTCCAGAGCTTTGTGCTATCATAATGCAGTTTTATTTAAAGAGATAAAACTGGGCGCCAATCCAATCCACACACTGTGCCTTTTTCCCCTATTACACACTCTAGTTTACACTCTGTTAAAGGACCACTAAAGTCACCGAGGCAAACTAATATCAATAAAGAGACCTAGGTGCAGTGGTCCTTCAATTTTAAACCTGCAATGTAAAATATTGCAGTTTTTTTCTTTTAGGCACTGACATTTTTACATTACAGAGTTAGGTCCCCCTCTAGTGTCTGTCTTAATGATGGCCATTAGAGGTACCGCTGCGGCAATGACAGAGTAAAACTCTGTCACTTGATGCATAAGCCCCCATAGGAATTTATTGGAAGAATGTTTTACTATAGAGAAATTTTGATGCACGTGTGGCTCCCGCCTTGGACGGGCATCAGGTCCCTAATGCTCCTTTATGAAGAACATTGTATTAAACCATCCTAAAAGAGGTCATACATCCTCCATGAATTCACGAAAGGAGTAGAGGTGAGCCCAAGTGAGCTTTGGTGAGGGAAAAAGTTAAGTAAAAACCTTTATTTTATTAATCATTGGATAAAGGGGGGACAAGACCTCCATAACTAGGGACAGGAATACTAAGGAGTTAGGAATACTAACTACTAATGCTTTAGTTTTCCTTTATCTTAGTTTAGGGCTCCTGAGAAGGATTCACTGATTGTAAAAATTATCCTAATGAAGTTTTTCCCCCCATCTGGAAGTGCATGATATTAGAGGCTAAGCTTTAAACCAGTTAACCCTTTCAAGCTGTGTGTTAATGTTGTTTGTATTTTGCAATGCCACAACTAGTGTGTATAGCACTTTTCAACATGGCATTGGTAAAATATACCTACTTATAGTATAATAATTACCGGAGGTATTTCTATCAAGAGAAGGAAA